GGAGGAAAAGTCTCTACAGTGACTCACTTCCAGGGTCCCTCCTGTCCATAGTTGCTTTCTTTCAATAAACCTTTTTCTACTTTTAACCTCCTTGGTACACAAAATTTGGTAGTCAGGAGACACAAACTAGGAACATCTGGGTTCTGACAGGCTGGGAGCATTTTTCCCACTCAATTAACCTTGAGTGAAGGTCTTGTTATTTGACTCCTTTCTCTGACCCTTGCTAACAATATTGGGGAATGTTTCTCTGTTGCTCACTGTGTGAACCACTTGAACCTCCAGAGATTGAATTCACAGAAATATGGAATCCCTTCATTGTGATTTTTAAAAGGTCACACTTGGCCTGTGTCATTTTTTTCTTGGCCCTGGAAATCAAACTCAGGACCTTGCACTTGCCAGGCAGGTGTTTATGTCACTGAGCTATATTGCCAGTCTTCAGTTTTTTTACTACAGCCCAGATTATTGTAGCTTGAGCCTAATTTCCATGGTGGTTTCTTTTTGTGACTTTCTGCTAAGGTGCAGTGTATGTATCACCTGTCTCTCTCCAGTTTGGAGCCAGTGACTCACCAGGGAACTTCACCTCACTGACAGAGCTAAGAAGCAATGTACTTTTCAGTTCAGCTTTTTGCTTAAAACAGAGAAGTGACACAAAGTATACACTCCTTACATGCCAAACTGAATCATACATGTTACTGCAAGATTTCATTTGCTAAAATACCTGAATTCAATTTTGAAGAACTCTGAGAAATCATCTTATCCATTTCTACAGGGAATTGTTACATTTAAAAAAAATTTTAGTTTAAGGAAAATAAAACAAAAAAGAACAGAACAAAGCAAATCAGAACAGAACAATGCGAGGTCCGGAAGAACATGGTGGATAGACAGCAGCAGCCTCAGAGGCTCTCTGAGAAACCGCACTTGAAATCCAGGAATGATGCTGGGCAGGAAGTCCTAGGCAAGGGGGGATATTATTTGCCGACCCAGGAATGAACTAAATTAAGAGAAACCAAGTGGAAACACAATCCCGGTGATACAGCAGGAACAGATAAGGTCTCAGCATGGAAGCCAGACCCCACGCCACTGGAAACTGCAATTTGAATTTTCCTGCAGCCAATGTTGCATCCCAGTCAGCACAGTGGGGAGAGAGGACCGAAAGCTCCGAGAGTGGGAAGCATTGAATGGAGTTGGGAGTGGGACTGGCCAGGTGCCCTGCATCGACCTGTGGTGAGTGAGCAGATCGGGACCCTTCCATAGAGAAGGAGGCTTCAGTGGAGGACATACTTGGACCAGGCAGACTTCCTGGAACGAGATGCTGCAGTGACTTCAGTCACATATTCACCTCTCAAGTGGGATTGGTGGGGAGTGCCTGGCCTTCAAGACACCGCTGGCTGAGACCCAGTAGGCTAGTCCAACCCAGTCCCAGCACCTGGAGGTGCACCCTAGTGGTGAAGCCTTCAGTAGGTTGACCTGGAGGGGTGGGCCCAGCATAGACTGCCCAGATCTGTGTCTCCCTGGTGCCCTGCAGTGGGTGGGAACACCTAGCTGGTGCAATTCAAACAGACTGTGGCCAACAGGGAAGGAAGCAGGGCCTCCTATGTACGCTTATATATGGAACAAAGAATATGGGAAGAGGGAGTAACAAGAAAGGGTCCTCAGCCCCCAAACCTGAGAAACATGCAGTAGCAGACATGGCACCAATAGACATAAAGTGCTATCTCCAGAGCCTCATAGATGAGTTCAGGAATGAAGTTATTAATGACCTGAAGCAAGACATAAGCAGAATAGTTAGAGAAATGCTAAGCAACGCCCAAGAAAAAACAGATGGTGGAATGGAAGAACAGAAAAAAAGGGGAGAATTGTATGATGGAGAAGATAGAGAAAACATAGACTACATGAAACAGGTTCAAAGAGATTACTAGGAAACTAAAAACTCTATCAAAAACTGGCATAACAGCTTGAAAGAAACTAAGGATAGATTATCAGAACTGGAGGACAGATTTGTAATATGGGAACATGAAATGAAAAACTTCTTAAAAATAACAACAACAACAAAAAAACAAACAGCAACAATACAAAAGCTAGAAGATGATAAGAGGATCTATAACTTAAGAATTAAGAATATAAGAGAAGAAATGGGGACACAAACAAATGGACTACAAAAGCTATTCACAGAAGTAATCTAAGAAAATTTCCCTAATTTAGCAAATGGTAAAGATACTCAGACATATGAGGCATACAGGACTCCAGCCACCTACAACCCAAACAGAGCTACACCCAGGCATATAATAATCAAAATTCCAGAAATCCAATATAAGAACAAAATATTAAAAGCCCTCAGAGACAAGAAACAGATCACTTACAAGGGAACACCCATCAGAATTACAGCAGACTTCTCGGCACAAACCATCAAATCACAAAGAGCATGGTGGGAAATAATTCAAGCTTTGAAAGATAACAACCTCCAGCCAAGATTGATGTATAACTGTGAAGACAATAAGAATCATTATGATGCCCATTCTGGTTGACTATTATTTTCTTTTAAAATCCTGTAACGTCTCCAATGCTTTGGTTTTATTCTTTACTGTTTAGTTCAATTTTATTATAACTGCCAATTCTTCTTAAAATAGCAAGAGACAGTATGGTAACCATTGTTGATCACCTTATATTTTGTTTTTACATTGTCTATTATGTCCATCCTTTTGATTTGACTGACTCTGTTCTGATATGTTGCATTTGGTTTTACTCTCTTCAAAAAAAGTAATAAGAACTGTGGGAGTAATAAAACCCAAAATATGTAATTGTCATTGTACAAAAGAAAAGAAAAGAAAGTGCTGTAAAGGTTATAATTGCATATATGTTTAAGTGTATAAGATAGATAACCACATTACTGAGTGTTTTTTTGGATCATTGAACAAAACTATTTGCACTCTCAGTGTTTGAAAGTCCACTTTATATGCTTCAATTTTGTAACTTGAACAACTATTTCTAAGATGAGAATATGTAATCTATTAACTAGTGATTTCTTACTGTTTATTTTTTAAATTTTGTATTACTTGTACCCTTTTTATGTTTTTTCCCTTTTTCTCCTTAAAAAAAAAAAAAAGAACAGAACAATGAAAGTGACATGGCACTTCACAACCAGACAACCAGGCATCAACAGTATCTACCAGAAAGTCTTTTTTCTTTGAAATAGTTGAGCATACCTTCCAGACATTAATATCAAACATAATAGTATAGTATAAAACCATTCAAAAGGGTGAAAGCATTATAGGATGTCAGAACCAAATAACAGGAAATGAACAATGGCTACTATAATATGTCATTTTCCTCCAAAATTTGTCTGTACCATCATACATAGTAAAATCAAATAAACTACAAAGGATAGAACCAACAAATCAAAGTGGGTTACTATAATATATCCTACTATTTTTTATTTATTTTTCCCTTAATTAAAAAGATAAAAATAAAAAAGTAAATAATAAAATGGAGATTGAGATAAAAGAGGGCATAACAACAAAACAGCGTAGGATTATTCTATCTCATAGCAGGGTAGCTTTCCACTGCATGACAATACCATATCTTTCTTATCCATTCTGTGGTTGATGGGTAAGTTACTCTCGCTTTTCTTTTCTTTTCTTTTTTTTTTTTTTTTTTTGGTCTCCTGTCACATGAAACAATTGTTTTCTCTCCTTTGATTTTCAGTCTATGAATTTCCTTTCCAGTTAAGTGTGTCTCTTGTGTACAGTGTATTGATGGATCTTGTTTCCTGATTCACTCTCTCTCCTTAGGCCATCTACATTAATGGGTACACTGGCACACACTGGTTTGTCTCTTCCCTGCTGTCCTCCTGTTGTTAGCCCTCTACTTTCCCCCTTCATTCAATTGCCTGTCCTGTTTGGTGACCCTCCTCTGCTGCTGTTCCTGGAACCATGCTTGGCTTTATCTCCCTCTAGAATATCCTTTAGCTCTCTCTGTAGGGTTGGCTTGGTGGTCATGAACATCTTTAGTTATTCTTTATCATGGAAATGTCTTATTTTTCCATCAATTTGAAAGATAGTTTTTCAGGGTAGATTAATCTGGGTTGGAAGTTGTATTCTTTCAGGGTTTGAAACACTTCACTCCAAACTCTTCTTGACTTGATGGTTTGCACTGATAACTCTGCTGTGATTCTGATTGGTTTTTCTTTATAGGTGATCTGTTTCTTTTCTCTAATAGGTTTTGATACTCTAGTCTTGTGATGAATTTCTGGGATCTTGATTATTATATGTCTATGTGTAGATTTACTTTGGTTATGACTATTTGGAGTCCTATAAGCCTCATATATGTGACCCTTGCTTCTTCGCCAACACCCATCACTCTTACGTTATGCTTCTTTGCATCATCTTGCAGCCACTGGGATGTTATTTCCTGATTCCATGCTATTTTTATGAGCTCTTTCCTTTCGCAATCACTAGCTGCAATCCTGTCTTCAAGGTTTGAAAGTCTATCTTCGGTCTCTTTTAAGTGGTTTTTCCAGCTTTCAATTGAATTTTTAATTTCCTGGATCTCTCTTTGAATCTGTTTCATGCATTGTAACTCCTTTCTACATTCATTCAAGGTTTCCATCCTTTTCCTGTGCTCCTCTTTATTGTCTTTGTCTTCTTTAGAACTTTGTACCTGTTAGAACAATTCTTTCAGTACTTCTGGGAATTCTTCTTTTACCTGAGACATTATTTCTGATTTGATGATTTTACAATCTCATAAACTTGTTTCCTCACTTCAGTTGCCCTCCTCTCAGACATTTCAGGTGTGACTGTATCTCCCAGACTTGTTCTGTGTGGGCTGGAGGTCTGAGGTTGCCTCTTGCTCCTTCATTTTGACATTCTCCTGGCTTCCTCTCAACAAGCTGGTTGTGGGGCCCCAGTCACTTCCCGTGTTGGCTGTCCCTAGGCAGTGTAGAGGGATGAGACAGGCACCTGGGTTCCTCTAATTCCAGATGTACTGGGAGATAGTAGGGCATGGTGCAGTCTTCTCTAGACCTATGCAGCTACACCCTGGCTTTGCTGATGATCAGGGGTTCGTGGAGGTGGGGCTGCTTCTCTCAGCCTGTGTGTCTACAGTGGGACATCCACAATTGTGGAGGCACAAGGAGTGTGTTTGTCTGTTTCTGCTAGTGGATGACGGCTGCTTGAGGAAACCAAGGGCCTCCAATGGTGGCCTATGGATGCTCGGGGCTTACCTGGCTGTGTCCCTGCTCCTGCTGCATACCTTCAGGAAGGAAACTTTTGGTGGCAGCACCCTATGGGTGAAGGCGGATCTGCTGGTTCTCTCTGCCCATGCTGGCTGCCTGCAGGATATGGCCTTTGGCGGCTGCACAGAGCAGGCAGAGGTGGATCTGTCTGTCTCCCTGGACCTGCACTGGGCACATGGAAGAAGGGGCCTTCTGGTGGCAGTGCTCGGCAGGCAGATGCAAATCTCCTGTTTTCTTGTCTGTGCTGGGCACAGAGGAGGAAAGACCTTCAAGTGGGGGTGCCCGACAGGCAGAGTGGAATTTTAAATTTGTCCAGGAGCTGTACATAGAAAAATGTAATGAAAATGGCTTTCTGCTTTCAAGAAATACTTTTTCACAAATAACCAAGTCTCAAACAAAATCATAGCAGTCGAGTTTCCTGCCAGTCACAAGCTGCATGTTGCCAGCATATGTCAAAATAATGTAAATATCTAGACTCTTTCTATATGCAAACATTTTATAGTCTATAAATTGTCCTGCCCACTTTGCTGGGTGGAAATCTCGGGACCTGCCTAATTTATTGTTTCTTTGTGAAAATATGCTCTAAGTTTAAATTTTCTAAATTTATATTTTAATAGGATATTAGAGGACAACCTGTCTTTCCCACTATTCCACATATAAGTACTTTCTTCCACTTTATGCACAGAGGTCACAGATGATTTTCTTGACACTTTGATATGGAACTAAATTTTTCTACTTAAAAATATCCTGATGGTTAGAATACTCTTTTTGTTCCCCTATTTGGTCTTAGTTGTATGTCACAATGAAGCCAAGCACAAAGAAAAAAGGGAAAAGAAAGGACCAGGGAAAAATCCAGTAGCAAACACAATCAGGGAGTCTGGGATGGAACGGGAGGAAAGTTACTTCCTTATCAGCATGGAGGGCTTTACTTCTGCATACACAACCCTCCCTCCAGTCTGCCGGGCCTTCAGCAGTGAGGTGGCCCCAAACAGCAACTGCTTGCAAGGCTGTGTTGCAGAACCTTGCTTCCTGGCATTCCCTGCACTTTTGTTCCTCTGTGCAGCTCTTAAAATGGTTCAAAAGTGAAAACATAAAGGGCTTTCCTGTCATGTATAAGCAGCTATGTATACATGTATGTGTGCACATGTGTGGGATGCAGTGGAGAAAGACTTTGTCCAGAGATTTCTGTTATCACTGAGATTGCTGAGGGAGGCTGAGCTACACAGGAGCTTGTGTTTGTTGTTATGCTGGGAACACAGCAATGCTTTCTTGATGAGAACTCAAAATGCAACTCAAGGTTCATCTGGAATTGCTCTGTCAGCCATTTGGTACTGAAAGGAAAGGGCATTTGTCTGGGTCTTGTGATCTGCATGCTTCCTCCTGGGATTGGCTGGTGTTGAATGTGAGCACAGAGCAGACAAACACTCAGAAAAACAAGACTATTCAGTTAAGTGGGCAGATTGGGCTGCTGGCTGAGTAAACATGTAGGCTGGGCTCTTGCTGTTGTCCTGCTATACCCTGTCTGCCTAGTGGCAGCGGGCCCCCAGAAGAGACTTCAGCGTCCCTCAGAGTGCTATAACTATGATCAGAATATGGGTTCTTGGTGTTGAGGGGTATTGGTGCTGTGAATAGTTCAGGATGTTACCTCTGTAAGCTTCTAGACTGGCTAAAGTGTGCGGCTCCCAGAGGTGTTCCTGATGCCTCTAGTGAAGCCTGCATCTCTTGGGGAAATCACTCCAGATGCTGCAAGCTAGAGCAGACTGTTTTCGCACCGCACTCCACCCTTCTCAGACCTCAGTTTGGGAGCTGATGTATGGCAAGGGGAGTTGGGCAAGGCTGGATTAAACATTAATGTAGCTGTAACCATCACCCATGGGAGAAAGCTTGAGACAGAGCTTCGCGGTTTTCCCAGGCTGAGGAGTGGTGACTAGCAGTCATGGCTCAGTTTGGCCAGATTCTGGCTGAAATAGTTAACTTTGTTTGCTTCCAGGTACGATTATTGATCCTGGTGAGTGTCCCCAGCTTTCTATCTCCCTTCTTTATGTTTGGCCAGGTTTTTATGGTTCTGGATGAGCCCCACCACTGTTCGGTGGCCTGGGTACAGAACCACACTTTGAACCTGATTGCTGCTGAGCAGCTGAATCTGAGTGTCCCTCTGGATGCAGAGGGCCAGCCTGAGTCCTGCCTCATGTTCCGGCCATCCCCTGACAATGCCAGCCTGGAGGACATCCTCAGCCACCACTTCAATGAGACACAGCCTTGTGAGACTGGCTAGAACTACCCTGAGCACAGAGCCCGCTCCCTACTGAATGAGGTGAAGCTGGCCTTGGTCTGTCTGTCCATCTGTTGCCGTCTGTTGCTTCTTTTGCCTGACTTGTGCCTATTCCTGAAGCTCTAACTGTGCTTATGTATGCTTTTTAAAAAAAAAAATCCCTGTTTTGTGGACACGGGTAGCTAAGGTCTTGAAAAGCTGCTTACTTCTGACTCAAGTGTGGTAGGAGCCAACATTTCTATTTTTATTTACTTGCTGTGGTATCTTCTTACAAGGGCATTCTGCACTTCCTAGACAACCAAACCCATGGAAAACTGGGTGGATGAACAGTCAAGTCTCCTGTGCTGCCTTGCATCATTTCCAGGGCAATGAGCTGTTTAGTTCAGGTCCTCACAAACTGTGTGTGTGAATGCAAGTGTGAGCTCAGTGCTGAGCGCTGGCTTGGTGATTTCTTGCCCACATCATTGAGCTGATGCTGATTGACTAGAAAGCTTTATATAGCTGAGTTCCTTTATTCACCTTCAGCAAATCTCTTCTCCTCCAATGGGGTTGGCTCTGTGTGTTCAGCAGATGCTTCTCACCTACTGTGGCTGCCATCAGAGGTGAGACTGACCACCTCCTGCAGAGCTCTCCTCCCTCAGGGAGCCCTAACACCATGTCACAGAGGCAAGGATCAATGTAGGTGGTGCATGCAGAGTGTCAGTATAGGACCCTGCACACAGTGAGCATCCTCTTGGCATGGAGCCATGTGGGTAGAGGCTGGGACCAAGTGCTTGGCACATAGAAATCCCCTGAGGGCCCAGCAGCATGGGGCCAGACATGTGCACACACTGCAGAAGTGTGCAGGGCTCTATCAACCTGCATATTGTGTTCACTTGGTTCTCTAGTTTGTTGGTCAGGCAGACTGTGAGACTCCAGGAGGGTTGGCATGATGTACCCACATGCATTTACTGTCTCTTTCTGTGTCTCTGTCTCTCAGTCAATCTGTCTGTGTGTTCCTCTGTCTCTTTGCTTCTTCCCACATTTATGTTGTTCCTCTGTTTTAACCAGAAGGGAGGATATTTGTTTGCGTTCAGATTGCCCATATGGGACCCTGGGGATTCTGCAGCCCAGTGGCAAACTTGGGGAGTTCTGAGTGTTTCCAAGGGAGCCTGGGCTGTGGGAAGAGGACCTGTGAGTTGAGAGGCAGCCATTAGCAGTCTGTCAGAGTTCCTAAGTGTTACATGCATAGCTTGTCAGCAGGTCCTAAGAAATAGTAAACCATCCTAAGTGTCAAGTAATTAAGATTAAACAACACATCTGGGTCATTATTTTTCCAGCAATGTACGCAATGCCTTCCTAGTAAGGATGTCTGTCCCTCCTGAGCAGACATCTTCTCTGTCCTGGAATGCTGCCACCCACACGTCCCCCTCCTCACTGACTCACACAGCGGGTTGCTTTTCCTCACAGCACCTGCCAGGAACGGGACTTCACACACACTGATGTGACTGGCAGGAAGGCAGTGTGATCTGTGCACTGACTGCTCTGGACTAGCAGACTGTGAAGCAGAGAGATGGTGAACAGTGCGGCCCATACTTAGGCTTTGTGCCCCATGGGTTTCTAATGGATCGTGGAGATAGTTGGGGAATCATGGGCCCCAAAAGGAGTGAAGGACTTGTCCTAAGTGCCCTCACATCGGCCTCTATCTGCCTCAGTTCAACCTGGTTTGTGATCGGGAACCCCTGACGGAGACCTCACAGTCAGTGTTCATGGCAGGACTCCTTGCAGGGGCCCTCATCTTCGGGCCACTCAGTGACCGGTATGTATGTTGACCAACTTCACCTACCACACTTCTGGTGTAGGGCCAGGTTTCCACTGTCCCTCTTTCCCCTGGATAAGGTCCCGTTCCCCAGTCCTCATGTGGGACTCCTGGGGAGGTGTCATGTGTTGTGTTTGATACAGATCCCAAGGCAGGTTTGGGGTGTCCCTGGCTTCTTCTCCAGGAGTGCCTCTCCCTGAACCCACCGTCCTCTTTGTTACCTCAGGATTGGCCGTAGAATGTGTATCCTGCTTCAGCTGCCCCTGGTTGGCATTGTGGGCCTGGCCACAGCCTTTGTGCCCAGCTTTGAGGTCTACATGGTGCTGCGCTTTGCTGTGGCCTCTGCCAGTGCTGGGTGGATGTTAAGCACCATTGCTCTGAGTGAGTATCTGGACAGGGAGCTTTCAATTCCAGTTTGTGGTCCTGAGACTGGGGCTATTTTTAGTCTCCAAACTGCCTTTGGGGATGTAATCAAGGGGGGCATCTATGGGCAAGACAGAAACAGAGTGGCCAGATGTTGCCCACCCTCAGCCTCAGCCTCTCTTCCCACAGTTTCAGAGTGGGTTGGGCCCTCATGGAGGACTCGTACCATCGCAATGATGCAGGCCATTTCTGGCCTTGGACAGATGGCTCTAGCTGGACTTGCCTATGGTATCCGAAACTGGAGATACTTGCAAATTGCTATCTCTGCTCCCACCTTCCTGCTCTTCTTCTACTTCTGGTGAGGAGACACTTGCCAGGAGGTGGTGGTTCTTGTGAGTTTGGTGCTTGGACTATGGAGTGCAGCCCTCACCTCACTACGGAGTGCATATATGCTGGGTGGTCAGAGGTAGGCAGCCTGGGAGGGCTGGGTGTGGGGTTCAGTGTTCCCTGTAATGGCTGGGAAGAATCCTCAGGATTTTCGACCCCAAATTTCTAGCTGTTCTTGGTCTTCAGGATTCTTCCAGAATCTGCACGGTGGCTCCTCATCAACGGGAAGATAGAGAAGGCCAAACAACTGGTCCAGAAGGCAGCCTTGCTCAACAGGCGGGAGCTCTCTGCAAAGCTCTTGAACCAGGTACTGGCAGCAGCCCCAGCCCCAGTCCAGCCCCAGAGCTGTCCTTCCCAGGTCATCCCTGGACCTTTGCCTCTCCTTCCAGCTGGCTCCAGAGGAGACAGGCCCCTCAGGGAATGTCTTAGATCTTTTTAAACATCCCTATCTCCGGAAGGTGACTCTGATTCTCATCTTTGTCTGGTGAGTGGCCAAGGCCCATGACCACATGCATGACAAAGCCAGGGGACCCCCACTTCCTTCAGGTATATCAGTGCCATGTTGGGATGGTAGACTTCAGACCATGCTGTTGTCACCACAAGAGTGCTAGCGTGACTCTGATTGAGGTTGCCTCTTTCTCTGAATGTAATGATGCTGACCACGCAGTAGTGACATGCCCCCTTGGGCCCCTTGTAGGTTTGTGGACAACCTGGTGTACTATGGCCTTAGCTTCCAAGTGGGGGAATTCGGCCTGGACATCTACCTGACACAGCTGATATTTGGAGCAGTTGAAGTGCCTGCCTGCCTTTTCAGCATCTTCATGATGGAGAGGTTGGGCCGCAAGTGGAGCCAGTCTGGGACTCTGATTGTGGGTGGTGTCATGTGCATTGCCACCGCCTTCATCCCTTCAGGTACAGGCTGGCTGTATACCATGCATACCCACCCAGCTCAGCCAGCATCCCGTGCAATGGTCATTGCTCTCATGTGCAATTAAGGGTTCCAAAGATTTGGGTACAATGGAGTTGAGGGTCTTGGATGCTCAGTGAGGTGAGCCATGAGCTTTTTGTATGGCTGACCAGCCTCTTCCACCAGATTTGCCTGTGGTGGTCACCGTGCTTGCCGTGGTGGGAAAGATTGCCACAGCTGCCAGCTTTACCATCTCCTACGTGTACACTGCTGAGCTCTTCCCCACTGTCATCCGGTAAGAACTGCTGGTAAGATGACTCCTCCTCTAACCTTGGTATCTGAATTTTAACCATCACTATGGTTCCCTTGCTGCCAATCTACAAGTAGCTAGTGCAAATGCCTGTAAGGTTGTGACAACTAGAAATCAAGCCCAGCCCCTATGTTTACCCCAATGGATGATAAGGCTGATCTTGTCAGAAAGTAATGTGGGATATGTCTAAAAATGAATGGAACATTCATTGTGGAAGAGGGAAGGTGACAAGGGCAGTCTTTGTCTGAGATGTGACAGGTGTGCAGGAGTGGAGGCAGCAGGGAGCCGTGGAGGTGGGATGAGCATGAAGGAGCAGAGGTCAGCAGTGCTCAGTGGGTCAGTGGGGCCTGGAGGGCCTGGAGGCCTCTTAGGGTCTCATCAGAAGTATTGGGTTGCAGCTGTGTCCTGTAGCAAGACCAGATCTGCTCAGGTTGTATTGGTCTTTCCCAGGCAAACAGGCATGGGGCTGGTGAGCATCTTCTCAAGGATCGGGGGCATCCTCACACCACTTGTCCTCCTGCTGGGTGACTACTACGTGGCCCTCCCCATGCTTATCTTTGGCATCATCCCCATCGTGGCAGGGATGCTCTGTGTCCTGATGCCAGAGACATGTGGCCAGAGTCTGAAGGACAGCATCTGGGACCTGGATCAGCAGCCTCATCCAGGGTGAGCCGTTTGTTCTGATATTCCTCTGGCTGACTCCTAGAGGCCCAGGTCTCTACTTCACTGGTAGTGCCTTGTTGGTTTTAGCCAATATGTATTCCTTGGAACCACAGACATCTATTGGGCTTTCAGTTGGAGGGTCCTTTCTTTTAGGAGGTGGTGGTGAGGAACATGACTATCAGAGTAATTGCTGGACAGCCAGTTATATTTTTCTGTTCTCTCTAGGTCCTTGGATACAGAGACACCAGAAAAAGAAATGGAGCCCACAGGAAAATCTAGCCCAAGGGTGGCTACCATAAGTACCTCATACTTCTGACTGGTCACTAAGAGCCAGGCCTTCACTAGCAGGGAACTCTTCCCTCTTTGTCTGCATGTGACCAAATATCCTGGAGGATGCAACAATAGCACTGTCAGGATTGATGCAGGCAGTTCCCCATGACCTGACCACACCACTGCAAGCCCAATCCAGAGGTGTCTGAGACAGATTCTTTCTCCCTTGCCCCTTCACCTGTCTTGTCCCTACACCCTCACCCAGTTGCAGGGGTGCACAACCTATATTATTGTATTGCATGTGTTTTTGGTGGAGTATTTCTCTGATCATTTTAGGGAGCATGGTTTCCTCTGAATCTGGAATAATTCTGCACTGGAGAGATTGAAGTTCAAAGCAGATTACAAGATGTAGTCTTTCCAAATTGTGGGAGCAAGCAGAGAACTCAAAGTTTGGATTTGTGGATTGTCCCCTAGGCAGTGAAGAAGGAGCTGTACAAGGGGAGAAAGTTGCTTCCTTCGAGAGACTGGGCCATCCCTCCTCCCTAGGGTGTAGGCCAGGATAATGTTTCATCCTGCTTAGAGAACACTGTCTAGTCAACCTCATAGCTCTGATCCCGCCTTCTTTTTGATGATCCCTTCCTCTCGGCCCCATGCATACTTTATGCTCATGTTGAGTGTCATTCAGGGAGAGGAAAAAGGAGAAAAAAGGGATTGCTTCTGTTCTTCCAAGCAACTATGTATTGATGAATTCAGAAACTTAGATGATATGGAAAAACTGCTTGAAAGACAAAATATAAAATCTTACTCAAGAATAAATATATATCCAAAATAGTTCTATAGTTAGTAAATAATTTGAATTTGTTTTAAAAATTCTTCCCACAAATAAAATTCTAAGCCCAGATTACTTCACTGATAAGTTCTTTTTTTGTTTTATTAAATTTTATTTTGAAAATAGAAAAAATGCAACAGCACAAGAGAGAACAAAGCCAGTCAAGACTGTTGTACTGTAAGAAAAATAGCTTCCTTATGTGTTTTCGTTCTCCCTCTGGGTGACCTAATTGATATGTTAATCAATGCTCTTCTCTGTAAAGAATTGTAAAACCTTACCTAATTGATATGTTAACCATTGTTGCCCTCTACAAATAACAGATGCGGTGCCAAGATAACCTAACAGGAGTTGTTAATTACTCCTAGGCTTCCCCATTCTCTGCTGAGGAAAACAGGATTTCTTCTTATCTAAACTTGCTCGTATGCAGGGAGACTTGCTTGTTAGCACAACCCTTACCTGACCTTGCTCTCCCCAAAGAATGTAATCTCGCCATATTTTCTGTTCTGTAATGCGCTGCACTGCCTTCCCCCTTTCCCTACCCGGTGGTTGTCTGTCATAAAATGTGCTAATTGCGCTGTTCTTAAGAAATGCTTAACTTCAAAGAAATTACAAAAATGTTGTGGCTTAACCCTAATGCACCAAAAGGGTTAAGTTCCAAATCCTTGTAAAAGCTTAAGTTTCAGCTTCTTGTAACTTTCGACCCCTTCTCACATGTTAGCGCCAGCAAGCTGTCCTTAGATAATTAACTTTCTACCTTCCTCTCTGAATGTTATTGCAGATGTGCTATTCCAAGATAATGTTTATCTGCAGAATGGAAGTAACTTAAAAGGCACCAAAGGCTCCCGATGTTATCAGAACTAAGTGGACAGCTTTACAGTTTCCATACTTGAGTCAACAGCTTGATGGCTCTGCGGGGTTCTTTGTTTTTCCTCCCATCTCTCCTGCTTGTTAAATCCCTTCTCCAGTCTCAGGAGTATGCAGTCTCCAAATTGGCTCCCAGAAACTCATCACCAGGCCTGGCCTAAATAAAGCCTTTGCTCCCCAAATTTAATTTCTTGTTTCCTTGGATTTTATTCCAGGGTCCGAGCTATCACAGAGACAATGCATTGAAATTGATACAGGATTTCACAGTAGGATACTAGGATAGTAGTAATAGGTACTATGGTATATCTCTTTAACTTTACAATAGTTGTCCAGTCAATTAGGTATAGCAAAATCAAACAAAAAATAGAACATTTTAAAACCAATTGAGAATATTGAATAGAGCAAAAGAAACATAACAAAACAAAACTGAAAACAACCTTTGCCTTCAAACAGAAGATAGAAGGAAATCCCCCATATTTTCTATACTGCATATGGTCATCCTCCCAAGAGATGCTGAGACATCCTACCCCAGTAGCTATGTGGGGAGGGGACAGGGTGCTTGATTTTCAGCCCACGTGGCAGTAGGCTCACATATTATGGTTCTCCAGGCCCACACCGCAGGCAGTTACCAAGAGGGCAGGTGAATAAAGCTGCTTGAGTCCCACCATGGCTGGATCTCAGGAATTCTGATTCTTCTCTGGGCCCATGCTGCAGGCTCTTATCAAAAGGGTGGGTGAATAAGCTGCCTGAGCCCCATCATGGCCAGATCTTGGGAGTCTACATCACTGATAAATTCTATAATGCATACATGAGAAATTATACAAAATTCTACACAAACCCCAGAAAACAGAAAAGGAGGAATCATTTCCCCAAAACTATGTGAGGTTACATTTAACTTGATAACAGTGCAATAAAAAGGCAATTAGAGAAAAAATAAAGAAAATCTAACATCACAATCTTTAATGAATTTTATATAAACATTAACAATTTAATAAATTACAACAGTAATCTATAAAAATGTCATGATCAAGCTAAGTTTATCTTAAGAATGTAAGATTTATTTATAATAAAGGGCAAATAAGAATAGAAAGTTCAAAAAGAAATCAAGCAAGCAAACCAGCAATGCAACCACAAAAGTCAAAAAACAACATTAACAACAACAACAACAAAAATAAGACATTAGTGGTACAGGATTTTGAAACAAGATGGTAGGAATTTAACCATGGCTGTTATACTGTATAGTGTTATCTTCTAAATAGTTACTCAGGTTACCAGATACAAGCATGGAGAATTTATCAAACAATATCAGTTCCCTTTGAGCAATTTCTTTCTCTTGCACTTATCTATTGTAAATTTTTAAATCTTATTTACTTGGTTTCTTACACAAAGGGGATAATATGGTGTTTACACATGTGATTCTGATTTATTTCACTTATGAGTATGGTCTCTAGTTGCATTCATTTATCTATAAAATCTTTGAGTTTGTCCTCCTTAATAGGTGAGCAGTATTTCATTGTATAAAACTACCATATCTTTTTTATCCATTCCTCAACTGATGGGCATTTGGGTTGTTTCCAAGATTTGGCTATTAAAAATTGTGTAGCTAACTACATGCCACAGCCCCTCCAGTACTTCTTGTTGGTTGATTTCTTGATATTCACCATTTTTCTGGAGTGTTATTTTAGTTTTCATTTCTTTAATGACCAATGATGTTGAGCATTTTTCATGTGTTTATTTGCCATTTGACTTTTTTCATCTAAGAAGTATATATTCATCTCAGATGCCCATGTTTCGATTAGGTCTTTGAATTTGGGGATCCTGATTTTTTTCAATTCTTTATACATTCCAGATAAAAGTCCTTTGTCTGAGGGACAGTTGGCAAAAATCTTTTCCCAGTTTGTGTATATTCTTTGCACTCTTTTGATGATTTCTTAGGATGTGCAAAAACTTTTTAATAAGATGAGATCCTATTTGTTGATTCTTTGAAGTACTTCCCATGCAGTTTGCATTTTGTTCATGAACTCTCTGCCTATCCCTATATCCTCGAGATTTCTATCTACTTTGTTTGTAGTTGATTTAGTGTTTCAGTCTTAATATTTAAATCTTTGATCCATTTTGACTTTTGTTTAGTGTATGGTGATAGGCATGGGTCTAATTAAATCTTCAGCATATGGAAAACAAGTTTTTTTTTTAGCACCACTTATTAAAGAGTCTATCTTTATTGCAGTGAACATGTTTGGACCCTTTGTCAAAGATAAGGTGACTGAGAGTGTTGGTAGCTGTGCCTGTATCTTTTGTTCTTTTCCATGGATACTCAGGCTGCTTATTTGCTAGTATCATGATGACTTTATTTAATAGTAGCGTCATGGTTTATGTCTGTGGCCCCCAGGCCTCACGAGTTTGAATCATGCATTTGTTATTCGTTCATTTTCTAGTGCTTAGATTGATAGTGTCAGTGATCCATCTACATAGGGGTGGAGCCAGGATGTGATATAATGGCAGGAAGAAGGTGTGTCTTGCTCTTTGCTGGTTTTGGTTTGCTGTTGGCGGTCACCATAAACTGTGCCCCAGCCATGCCTGCCTATCTTGGAGCCAACTGAGTGTGGACTAAAACCTCCAAAAACGATAAGAAATAAACCTTTCCTTTCCTAACTTTGGGGTTCAGGTATTTTGTCTCAGCGATGAGCATAAAGTAACTAAGACAAGTAGCTTTGCAGTATAATTTTAAGTCTGGGATTGTGATGCCTCCTGCCTTGCCTTTGTTACCCAGAATTGCCTTTGCTACTCTAGATCTCTTATGGTTCCAGATTCATTTTAAGAGTGATTTTTTTCTAATCTCTCACAATGTTAGTGGTATTTTGGTCAAAATTGCACTAAATCTGTGTAGTAGTTTTGGGAGCATGGCCATTTTCACAATGTTGATTCTTTTTATCCAGGAGTAAGGGATGTGTTTCCATTTTCTGTCATGCTCTTCAATTTCTTTTTTCAGAGCACTGTAATTTTCAATGTATAAATCTTTTATTTTTTATGTTAAATTGATTCTGAAGTATTTCATTTCAAAGGTGCTCTTGTGAAATGTGGTGTTTCCCTAATTTCCTTCTCATTGAGTTTGTCATTTGTGTACAGGAATGCTACTGAGTTTTGAGTGTTGATTTTGTACCCTGCTACACTGCTGAATTTGCTTCTTAAATCTAGGGGACTGTAGGTGGAGTTTTTGGGGTTTTCTATATACAGTACCATGTCATCTGCAAATAATGATAATTTGACTTCTTCCATTCCTATCCTTATTCTTTCAATTTCTCTCTCTTGTCTGTGTGCTCTGGCTAATGTTTCAGGAACTATATCGAATAGGAGTGGTGATAATGGACATACTTGTCTTGTTCCTGATTTTAGATTGAAAACTTTCAGTTTTTTGTTGTTTAATATGATGTTGGCTATTGGTTTGTCTTAGACATTTTTTATCAAGTTGATGTAAATCCTATCTATTCTGATTTTCCCTAGAATTTTAACCATGAATAAGTGTTAGGTTTTATTGAAAGTTTGTTTTTGCATCTATTGAGATGACCACGTAATTTTTGGTTTTGGCCCTGTGAATATGGTTTATGATGTTTTTTGATTTGTATATGTTGAACCATCCTTGCATTCCTGGAATGAATCCCATTTGGTAATGTTGTATAATCTTCTTGATAATTTGTAGTATTCTGTTTGCTAGTATTTTATTGAGGAGTTTTGCATTTGTGTTAATTAGGGATATTGGCCTATATTTCCCTTTTTTGGTTAGGTCTTTCTGTTTTTTTAAATTAGGGTAATACTTGTCGAGAGGAATGAATTATGGAGAATTGCTTACCTTTCAGTTTGTTAAAAAGTTTGAGGAATACTGGTGTTAAATATTCTTTAAATTTGTTGTAGAATTCATTTGTAAATCCATCAGAGCATGAAAAAGACATATAGGACCATTGTACAAGGAGTTCTACCATAGTTCCTGTGTTGTCTCTTGTTATCTTCAATAGAATCGGCTACAACATCAGACATAGTATAATTGAATATGTCAGTACATAACAGTATTAATAAAAACACAACTTTGTATATAGTATAAAACTTAAAAAACAGGCAGTGATCAAACCAGAATGTGTATCATAGTGAGTCTTGTCATCTTCAGTGTAGTTGCGTATAATCTCAGACTTGATACTATCAATCGTATCAGTTTTGAATAAAATCTGTCGATACCAAACAGCAATCAAACAAACCAGATTTAACTAACACCAGTCCTGATAAAACAGTATAAGTCATGCAGGGCTCCAGAGTAAGTTAAATTAAGTTAAATTAAAGCTGATTACTGTGCTATATCCTGGTGTTTTTGGGATAGCTGTCTGTGCCCTCAAATGTAATGCAAGTAGACAAACTGGGACAGAATAAAATCTATTTAAGCAGAGTGGTGTGAGTAATGTGGGTTTTAAATCCTGATACACTCTTAATAATATCTTCTGCTGTTATTTTTAAGACTCTCCCCTCCTCTTTCACTTCCCCAGGGTACACTGTGCATTTTTGGGTATGACCAAGACCCTTAGTTTTAAATTGGGGGACAATCTACTATTTACCTAAGTGGTTCTGAACCTTCTCTCCCCTGGACTTTATCTCTAATTGTATTCCTTTACCTATTAAAGCCTGTCTTTCCAACCTATCCACAAATGCTGGTCTAGTTGCCCCTATTACTCTCTGGTTCTCTGTCATATACAGCATTGTTTTCTCATATTTGATTTTTAGTCCATGTAGTGTTTTTCATGTTAATTATATTTCCTATACATAGTATTTCAGTGAACCCACCTCCTGATATACTCCATGTGTGGTTCTTTTTTTTAAATTTAGTGTATCAAGGCCATCTATATTAGAGATTATAACCAACCTTCTCTGCCTCATTTCTGTTATGCTGTTTTTTTGCTGTCAGTTGTCTGCTTATCTTCTTCATTCTGTTTTCTGCTCCATTCATTGAGGTCTCTCCGTCACTATTCCTGGAATCCTAGTACTTTTCTCTCTCCTGCAATATTCTGTGTAGTGTTGAATTGGTGGTTGCAAATTTTCCAAGTTCCTCTTTGTCTTGGAAGTATCTTATTTCTCCATTAATTTCTAGAAACAGTTTTGCAGGGTATATCAAACTGAGCTGGACCTTATTTTCTTTCAGGGCTTGGA